TAAAATATGAAGTGTAAAGCCATTCGAGTCTGCACAAGGTGTTGGTGTGTGATATTATAAATACTTTATTGTAAAAAAATATTACGTTTCGATCCTAATTCGGACCCTTATCAATATATACAGTTGTTTATAATATATTTCATATAATAAATATTATACTATGCATTTGAAATGTTTATGTTTCATACAATAAATATGTAATTATATTAACCTGTATTTCAGATTTTGTTATTACTCACAAATTTTCTCCTTTACATAGTTTCGAAAACTTATTTCAGCAAAAATGCGAAATAACGCACTGCACTAAATTATATTTAGGTCCATTATAGATCCATTTTGGGTCCATTTTAAGTCCGTTTGGAATATCCAATGGACATCCGAATTAGTGAAAAATGGACGTCCATAACACGTTCAATGGACGTCTGTCGGATCTTGATCGGACCGCGTAAGGACGTCCGGATGTCCAGTCGTAGACGTCTAATGGACGTACCATGGACGTCCTTGTGCTATCTGGGTTTTCCACCTGATAATTCAATACAACAAAATCTCGCTAGTAATATTGTGGTGACCAAGTCACCACTATCTCAGCTGTAAAAATATAATAACGCATTAAATTAAAATAATTAAAGATATACAGAGATACACGAACACATACTTGACATACACAACGAGAAACAGCTGTAGACGCAAATGTAAATAGAGAGCCTTTCAAAGCAACGTTCTTGCGACTGTTTTTTGCAGTAGTTTGGCAATACGAGTCGCAGGTTGGAAAATAGGATTGATAAATATAAACTCGAAATGCACAATTGGGTTTCTGTAATTAATGTATGATTTTATGAGATTATGTTATATTTTACAAGGAAAGCATGTAGCAGGAAAATTGTAATTTAATTTATTATTTTAAAATTGACGGTGACAACCGAGATAAATACACGCAAAATAATATTGACCGACAATAGAAATTGCTAGAAAGACGTAACGGACGAGAAGCGAGCGAGAGATATGACACGAGAGTCGATCAGCTGACGCGTGTTGAAACAGTCGCGTTTCTTAGAATATCGAGTTATATACCGAGAATCGACAAACACAATACGTGATATCGCGACCGAATTACAAAGTATTATACTCGAGCGATATATAATTTTGTACCTGTACATTTTCACGCGCTTGTAAATGTATGTTAATATATTGACAATTTATAATTTATTTCTGTTATATTTTATTTTTGGTGATATTCATTTACCACGTCATTTCCTATGCTCGCGCTCCCTTATATTATCACGCCTTCTGAGAGAATAACGGAGCAACAGGGCAAATAGGTGTTACGGAACGTCGTGGTTTTAGAAATTCTCTCCTATTTTTGGGTCAATGCATTTAAGCAATTTACCCTGGGATTGGAGGTCAGGATGTGCGATTAGGAATGTTCAGGAGGAAGGGTAGGATAGTTTTTAGGAAGGGTGACTTTGAACCCGGTCCCAAAGAGTTCGCGAAGTTTGTAGGCGAGCCTGCGTGGATCGCCTTTTCGGATGGTTTTATAATTGGGAAAGGTGAGGTTAATTTCTAATAGGTTGAGGATATATTCGCGTTCGGGAGATGGATCTAATGGCTTATTTAGTAGACGCGCTAGTTTCTCGAAATAAGGAAAAGGATCGTGATTTTTATTAAAGGCTGTTTTGATCTGGAACCTTAATCTCTTCTCTTTTTCTCTTCGTCCACCTTTTGAAGGCATGGAAGCAACGCGAAAGAAATTGTCTAATTTCGAGGAAAATGTCTAAGACTGGGGCCACGCCATTGGCAGCGACAGTCACAACACAGTCCTCTAT